TGACAAAGAATTGCCATTATACAACTTCAACTACTATTCTATGCACAAAAATAGGAACGCTGCAGACATCTGTAAGCAAGAACATAGAGCTCAATTAAACATCTCCTGGCAGAAAAAAGGTGGTTTCAAATATGATTCTAGTGTTTAAAGCTGGTAAAATGGTTTTGCATTCAGAGGATATTACTGCCAATAACAAAAAGTTGAAATGAAACCACCTGTTTTTCATTTTCATTAAAAGCATCCTGAACAGCCTCCAATATCTGAACATCACTTACAGCATGGAGAGCTGGTGTCAGTGCAAAGTGTCATCTGAAATTAGATTGATTATGCTGAAAAAAACGTACCTTTGGCTACCTTCAATTTTTTTTTTTTTTACCAGTGGTGTGGTCTGCACGGACTCATGCTGACATTTATGCCTCACAACTGAGTGCTGCTTGGGTGCTTTTCGGCCTTGTTTGGTTTCACTGCATTACAGTGAATGAAACACAGAAACAAGAAACACAGAAACAAGAAACACAGAAACAAGTGAAGCAGAAATGATAAAAAGGAAAATATGTACATATATTTTAGAGGTTCAAGGTAAGTTTTTATAGTTACTGATGACTAGACCTTTATTTCATGTTCTCATAATTGCCTCATTGGTGACATATTCCAATCTGAGGTGCAGAAATCGTTTCCCATTTGTTGTTTTCAATTTACTTAGGATGGACTTAGGATTTCCACGTAATGGTATTTCCTACAGTTTCTTGTGTGTCTATAGGAAAATTCAGAGATGGCAAAAGTACTCACTTTCCGTACTTGAGTAAAAGTACAGATACTTGTGTTAAAAAATACTCTGGTAAAAGTGGAAGTACTGATTAAACTTCTTTACTCAAGTAAAAGTAACAAAGTACAGGCTTGTAAATGTACTTAAAGTATAAAAGTAAAAGTAGAAACCACTTTTTTCATGCCGTTGCCTACATTTTAAATGGATGTCTGCCAATAGGACTAGATCTCCGTTGTGTTCATTTTCAATCATCTCGTCGTCCATGCTACTATGCTAACGCCACCGCCACCAAGCTGCAATGATTTGCCGCCAATGAATACCGCCGAATCTGTCGATTCATCTTGTAGTGGTGCGTCAAATGCAACCTAGATTCCCATCCAATTAGATTGAATTTGGTATTGATGACGTGAAAAATAATAACGGTAACTCCATTGAAATGATTCAAAACTAAAGTAACGAGACAATTTTTTAAAATGTAAGGAGTAGAAAGTACAGATATTTGTGTAAAAATGTAAGGAGTAGAAGTAAAAAGTCGCCATAAAAATAAGTAGTAAAGTAAAGTAAAAATATCAGAAAAATCTACTTGAGTACAGTAACGAAGTATTTGTACTTCGTTACTTCCCATCTCTGGGAAAATTCAACTTCAATACCAAACATTCTCCCACTTAGTCACATTTAACTACTTACAGTAACGCCACACTACTATGGAACTAGATATGTCTTAATTTTCACAACTACCGTACACATATGTGACTTATACATGCACAGGACGATTCACACAAGCACAAAAAAATCCACACACACACAATACAAGGGTGGATGTGTGATAGCGGACGGCAGTGGAAGTGGAACAGTTCTTATTGATTAACGTGAGGGCGCACGTGTTCCTCACAACGTACGTGAGCGGGGCGGGGCAGAGGGGTGACGGAGGAAGTGGAATCTGGGGTAAGTCAACCCACGTGCAGTACTTTCTTGTGATTGGCTTATACAATGCAGCTTTGTGATTGGTGGCAAACCATTCTCTGCTTAAAAAAATGCATTTGTGTATCGAGGCACGTCAGGGGAGTCTCAAAAATCCACACACAAATGCAGTGAAGTTTGAAGACAACTGGTACTTGGTAATTTAAGGTTGTAATTCTTTATAGATCAGAAACACTTTGGTGAATCTTGTTCTCTGCATGTGAGGATCATGTGTGCTTGCTTGAATCGTGCTGTGCATGTGTGGCTGTTGTCTTGTTTGTATGAATCACAGATGTGTATTTGTTAAAAATGTAGAGACCGACACTAAGACAGTTTTATGACAAATATTGCAGGGCAAAAAAAAAATCTTACATAAAAATGTAAAACATTTGTAACATTGACATAGCACTCATGGGCCCAGTTTACTCAAATTATGCAAAACGGTGGATTTTGGGGTGACTTGCACTTTAAATAATGACTAAATATTACAGCAACATTGTGTTAGTCGATGCATTATGGGAACAAAACAAAAAACAAAAAAAAATCATGGTGCTGGAGCTGCAGATGTCACTTGTTCCTGATCCTACAGCTTTAGATTTGAAGCAGCCAAAAGTAAAAACCTCTTTAGAAATCACACCAAACAACTCTATCTGGCTCTTTATGACTCTCGCTGACTGAATCCTCCGCATGGCACAGAAAATTAGATCTCTCATCCTCATGCCTTAGCAGCCAATTACTCTGTGTAAATGGAATAATAGGTTACGCTGAATTCCCCGGCTCCATCGTTGGCTGACTATCTCACATTTCACCCCAGCCAAATATTCAAACTGATGAGATGAATATTAAAACTCTACAAAAGCAGTTTTTGCACACAGAGCAAAAGGGCCAAGAAGCTCTTCATTCCTCAATGTCAAATTAAGAAAACAGCATCGATCCACAGACTATCAGGGGCTTTGAAACCTCCATGTACCACAGGGGAATGATAATACACTTTTAACACAGAAAACAAATCTCTTAAACCTGTGTGGAAAAACACACAGAAGCTAAAATTGAAAAGAGAGACACATGGAAATGAGAGACGGCTCTAGTTAATGTCAAATAAACTGTTGGCCGACACAGCTTACTGAACTCGACTAGTCGTCAGGTTTTATTCACACACACACAACCATGAACTTACAGGTTACAGCTCACGTCTCTCTCGCGAACTCTCGCGTTACTTCCTGTATATAGTATAATGACGTAACACACCACTTACATTACTGATACCTTGACATCTCCCACTCAAATTATTAAACTTCTATAACATGGGGTCACAACATTAAACTTGTTATTATTAAACCATATTTCCTGTTGGTCTAAACAACTTAAAGAATTACTTCTTTCCTTTCCTGCCTTTTACATATTTAACTTTCAAACGCTGTATTTCTCAGATTACTCCAGAATGTAAATCATAACTCAAACTTAACTTAAATTCTTAATAAACTTAAATTCTCTGTTCTCTGAGTTACTTAACTAAATGTCCATCCTTTTCACAGGTCTACTAACTCTACCAAACCTGGTCACTGTCAGTCCTTGTGGTGTTACTTTAGGACTATCAACCTTACTTTCACACAGTCCCTGGTCAGAGCCATGTTGTGGTGTTTCTTTCTCTGGCTCTGTGGCTGGCTGCCCAGAGTCTGCTTTCTCTTCTTCCATCAGCGGCGGCACTTGCTGAAGATGTCATCTGTTTCTCCTCACCTCTCCTCCTCCTGGTGACTTCACCTGGTATGAGCGTGGCGTGCCACACTCCTGCTGCACCGATGCTCGACCTTTCCACACCTTCTCCCCATCCAGCTTGGACAGGACGTGGTCACCTGTGTGCAAGGGTGGTAAGGCCCTCGCGCCGTGTCTCCGGTTGTAGTAGAACGCTTGTTGTTGTTTGGCTTCTTCATCTCGGTGACGGATGAGGTCTCGGTTCGGCTGCTTTGGAATGAGGTTTTTCTTTAGGGACGGCAGTGTGGTGCGAATCTTACGCCCCATGAGCATTTCTGCCGGGCTCACTCCCGTGGATGTGGTTGGGGTGGCGCGGTAGCTCATCAAAGCCAGTAGGGGGTCGTCCTGCTTGAGTATGCGCTTTGCAGTTTGCACAGCGCGCTCTGCATGCCCGTTACCTTGAGGGTTGTGCGGGCTGGATGTGGAATGTTCAATGTCGTACAGCCTGCAAAACTCTTTCCAAGCATCACTGGTGTACTGGGGTCCGTTATCGCTAATTATCAGCTCAGGGATGCCAAACCTGGCGAACGTAGCCTTCATTGACCTCACTACCTGTTCTGTAGTTGTGGTAGGTAAGTGTAGTATCTCCAGATACCGTGAGTAATAGTCTGATATCACCAAGTATTGTTTTCCTTTGTATTCACAAATGTCTGTGGCTATCTTTTGCCAAGGTCTCTCAGGCAGGGGTGTTGACAGTAACTGTTCCCTGCGCTGAGTGCGTCTGTTTGTCTGACAAAAGTGGCATGTGTCAATTTTTCTTTTAATGTCCCCTGACATCTTTGGCCACCACACAGTCTCTTGAGCACGTTCTCTACACTTAGACAGGCTCGGATGTCCCTCGTGTATACGGTCTATCATCTCCTTTCTCAAGGCCTGAGGAATTACAATGCGACAGCCCAGCGTGATCAGGCCCTCACACTCAGATAGTGAGTCTCTCATCTCATAGAAGTCTCTAACACTGTGTGAAGTGCTACTCACTCGTTTCGGCCATCCATCCCTAATCAGCTTTCTCACACGCTGGAGCTGTGGGTATTCCTGCGTGGCTGTCCTGATCCTGTCCAGCTTGCTTTGCGAGACAGGCCAGCTGTGGGTCACTGCATTCACGTGACACGCAATGACCGCTTCTGTGGTGCTGTGTCTCTCTTTCAGCGGGCTGCGTGACAGTGCGTCGGCTATGACCAACGTTTTGCCCGGTGCATACTCTGCCTTTGCATTAAAGCGCATAAGCCGCATTAAGAGTCTCTGACACCTAACAGGCACCGTGTCTAAGTCTTTGCTGTTTATCAGCGGCACCAGTGGCTTGTGATCTGTTATGAGTCTGAATTTGTCCATGCCTACCAAGTACTTCTGGAACCTTTCACAGGCCCATACTCCCGCCAAACACTCCTTTTCTATTTGCGCGTACCTGGTTTCCGCGTCTGATAGTCTCCTGGAGCAGTACGCTACCGGTTTCCAGCTCTCTCCGTGCAGCTGGAGCAGGACTCCTCCCATCCCGTAGCTACTCGCATCTGCTGACACTGTGGTCGGTCTCTGTGGGTCGTAGTGGGCCAGTACAGGCGATGTGATGAGGGCTTCTTTCAAGCGCTGAAACGCTCGCTGCTGTGGCTGATCCCATGTCCAGGCCATCTTCCCCTTTAGGAGATCGTACAGTGGACCTGCGACGGTTGCCATGTCTGGAATGTATTTGCTCATGTAATTAATCATGCCTAATGCACGTTTCAGTTCATGTACATTGGTGGGCGCATCTAACTCCCTGATGGCGCTCACCTTCTCTGGGTCTGCCTGAACCCCGTTGGCGTCCACGATGTGGCCCAGGAAGCGTAACTGTGGTTGTGCGTAGACACACTTTTCTTCATTCAGCTTAAGGCCTACTTGCTTCATCCTTTCAAGTGTGCTTTGCAAGTGTCTGTCATGTGTGGCCTTGTCTTTTCCATGCACAATCACGTCATCCATGTACCCGGCGACTCCTTCCAGGCCCTCGAGCAGCTCGTGCATCTTGCGCTGGAATATCTCCGGGGCTATGTTTATCCCAAACGGAAGGCGGGTAAAGCAGTACCTCCCGAAAGGTGTGATGAATGTGGTTAAGATTCTGCTTTCTTCATGCAGCGGTATCTGCCAAAAGCCTGAGGCAGCGTCGAGGGATGTGAACACGGTTGAGCCCGCCAGCTTGGCCAGCGTCTCATCTGTGGTAGGTAGCTGGTAAGTTTCTCTCTTCAGATTTTCATTCAGCTTCTGGAGCCCTACACAGATTCGGACGGCACCTGACGGTTTCAGGACTGGCACCATTGGTGCGCACCATTCTGTGGGTTGTGTCACTTTGACGATCACGCCGTGTTCCTCCATGCGTTGTAGCTCAGCTTGGACTTTGGGTAGGAGTGGCAGTGGGACTCTCCTGGCTGTGTGTACAGCGTGTGGCACAGCGTCATCACGAAGGTGGATCTTCACCGGCTCCGTCTTCATCGTGCCCATGTGGACGGCTGCTGTCTTCACCTGCTGTACTCGCTTCACCAGCCCCATCTCTACTGCTGTGTCCCTGCCCAGTAAGTTATTAACTGTAGGCCCTCTAGCTACATAAATATTGAAAATATGTTTTCTCTGTTTGTGTAATGTGCTAGCTGTAAATTGTCCCATAATGTCCAATGTTCCTCCTGGACTCTCTAATGGGCTATGGTGTGGCTCCAGCTTTCTTTCTGGTTTAAGTGCCTTGAATGTTTCCATGTTCATTACAGTGACGTCAGCGCCTGTATCTATTCTAAATTGCACTGGTGTGTACCCTATGTGGATCTGCTCTGTCCATTGCTCTGCACTGCTTTGTTTTTGTTTACTCACTGCGCCTAAGTAGAAACTTTCATCCTCTTCGTTCCCTTGGTTTACTTCCCTCACAGTCTTTGTGAAGCATTTTCTTTCCCAATGCCCCTTCTTCCCGCACTTCCTGCATTCAGAATCCGACGCTGGGCATTTGGCTGCATTTTTGTGTTTTTCTTTACCGCACCGACTGCACTTGCTCTCCCCTTGGTAGCCGTGCTGCTGTCCTTCTCTCCTCTCTCCCTGCGGTTTCCCTCCTTTCTTCACGAACCTCCTTTATTTCACTGCTTGCACCGCCAGTGGAGCCTGCTGCTCTTGCTGCATTATCTGTTGTGCCACCTCTTCAGCTTGCCTCACCATAAGCACTGCCTTTTCGAGGGTTAAATCCGGAGTTAACTGCAATTTTCTGGACAAGTCTTTATCCCGTATTCCCACGACCAGTTTGTCTCTTATGTGTTCGTTTTTCTTATCGCCAAACTCGCAGTTCTTGCTCAGTTCGTGCAGGGCTCGGATAAACGTCTCCGCCATTTCCCCTGGTTTCTGTTGCCTTTGGTAAAAGCATGCCCTTTCGTGTATTGTGTTCCGTTTTGGAATAAAATACTCGTCAAACTTGTCCAACACCGTTTCATAATCATTTTCATCCTCTTCATCCGTAAAAGTAAACGTCTTGAAAATATTTTCGGCTTCATTGCCCATTGCATATATTAGCGTGCTAACCTGGACGTCCGCATCCTCCAGGCTTAGCTTGGAAGCCGACCTGAATCGCGTGAACCTCTGTCTCCACGACGGCCACTCTCCTGGTTTCTCAAAGTTGAAATTATCCGGAGGCTTGAACTTTGCCATTGCTTGTGTTCTCTCCTAGAGCACTTCTGACACCATGTCAAATAAACTGTTGGCCGACACAGCTTACTGAACTCGACTCGTCATCAGGTTTTATTCACACACACACAACCATGAACTTACAGGTTACAGCTCACGTCTCTCTCGCGAACTCTCGCGTTACTTCCTGTATATAGTATAATGACGTAACACACCACTTACATTACTGATACCTTGACAGTTAACAGACAGCTTAGCTTCTTCAGGAGTTCCAGTTGATCCTGTGTGAAATAAGAACCTGGAGCACAAAGAAAGCCATGTTCAGAAATTACTTTTACTTTTTAATTAATTACATCTCTTGTATTAAATCCTAAACTGTCAAGACCTGCACTGTAAAAAAAATAAAATCTAAATAAGTCCTTTTTCTTAAAATAAGTGCATTTTGTCTTGAATTGAGGGTGAAAGCGAGAAAGCTTACCAATGGAACAATACACTTTACATTTAAAGTAAGGAAAAACAATTGCATTATCTTATTTAAAGTTCATATTATCTATTTATCTTATCTCAGAGTAAAAATATTGGCAAATCATCTTATTTACCTACTTAAATTAAGGGTAAATACACTTTTTTACTTATTTCTAGATTGTTTTTACAGTGTGTGGAACTTTTTTTTTTTGGATTGACTTTGTGACACTCTTTATATTCCATATTTACTTAATTAATATCTTAGAATTGAGATTCAAGGTTTTTGTATTTTGTTCTTCACCATTTATTTTCTTAGAATATGATTTGTGTTCTAGTCTTTGTACGTTTCTAATTTAGCCAGAAGAGCAGAAAATGTTTGTATTTCACATCTCAGTAAATAAAAAGTCCAAAGTGCTGTTAATGAAAAAAAGCATAAGGGGAAGCTGGAGCTATTTTCTTATATTCAATTCTACACTCATGAAGATCATATTTTTCATTTGTATGAGTGGTTAAATAAAATGTCTAATTAAATTCTAATCATCTAACACCTTTACTGATTATTGAAAGAGTAGTAGATTCATGTTGAAGCAATTTCAGGAAAAAAACAAAAATGATACAGATCATTTCAAAAGCACAGTGATGTCATAAAGAGCTTAAGGAAAAGCCTGTTTAAACTGGAATGTTTTCTGGTGCTATTTTAATGAGTTCACTTTAAAAGGGACACCAAAGTAAGCTTGTTTCCCTACTAAAGGTGTTACAGTCTGGAGAGAGGGAAGCCCTTGAGTCTGGTTTTGTTTTTGGTCGGTATATATTTTGCTCCGAGGACCTAAAGTCTTTACATAGACTGTGCGACTTTAACAATGCAGTAAAAGCCCCACTGATTGTGACCAAGAGTTACATCAGCCCACAGCTGTGGATGCTGCTGTTTTGGCCATTTGTCTGCTGGAAATTCAACATCTTGCAGCTTTGCAGCAGTTCACAAAAGCCCTGCAACACACGGGTAATCTGAGAGCTAAACAACAAAAACTGATGATTTTATAATAATGAAGATATGTTTTGTCCCTTTTCTAATTAGGTTGTATTTGTTGGATGTAGAGATTAACAAGCAATCCACTTGAGCTGCACGGCTTTCATGATAGCTGCTGTTTGACAAATCTCTTATCTATAATTTACATGCCGTGTTAGAGGTCTAAAATCACACAAATGAAACTAAAAGACTTTTTCTAAATAGAAAAGGTTTCTTAATTAAACTAAAGCCTTGGATTTTAAGCACACACAGTTTTGTTAAATATGATAGCAATTTATTGCACAAGTTACAGCAGCTATTGATGCCGTTTGGCAATTATTTATATAGCCTTGCTTTTGCAAGTTATTTTTAATAGAACACAATATCAAGTCTGCAGTTTGAATTATAAGTTGAAAATCAGAAATGGGTTGCAGACACTCAAAACTCGCCAGAGATGGAAAGTCTTTCACAAAACGCATTCAGGCAGATTTTCATTTATTGTCGTATTCACATATAGAGACTGAATGGCTCTGCAACTTTTCAAGGTCTGCAACCAAGCAACAACATTTTCATTAATATTACATTTAACGATCCTTTTCATGCCTTCCTTTAAATGATTAAGTTCTGTGACTTATTTTTTTACTCTTGTAAACATTTTCTGATTTCAGAAAGAGTTTGGCTGTTATATCCCCAGAGTATTCCTCTTCTTGTCCTTCCTTCTAACATCTTCCTGACAGGTAAAGGATCCGCAGCTCTGTCTTGTTGAGACGAATCAGGGGGAGCTTTAAGAGGAACAAGCTCCTTAAGTTAGATGGCAGATAGTTTTGCTCACATGAGCAGTAATGTTTGTCTAACCTAATCTTTATTCTCCAGCAGAAACCAGATTTATCGTTGATCTCTGACTCCTAAATTCAGTTGTTTCTGTTCTTAGCCTGTGTGAGGAACACCTACCCAGATCCCCACTGTTCTCTGGTGGTTCGGTTAGCTCACTGTGGCTAACAGTCAGCATTTGGCTCCCTTCCCACTGGCAATAAAAGCTGGGTCTAACCCCTCGCTGGAAGCTGCATGGACTCGGTCCCCCCGCCCATGCATGTTGATACCATCACTCTGGGTTAGGGTTGAAGATGTCACAGTGCGACTTAAATCAGGAATCCTTAGAAAACAGTTAAAAAGTAAAGCCCACGTAGCTTATTTAAGCTTGGCTAATGAAAGTAAGAAGCTATTAGCTGTATTTCAGAAATCAGAAATACATACTGTATTCAGTGCAGCTAATTAATTTCAAAACAAAAAATAAAAATGCATGAAGCATTTTTAGGTGTCTGAAACTTAATTCTTACTAGTAGGCCTGCAATTCTGTTTTTTGACATTTTAAAATTCGGTTTCTGCTGCCAAAAATTAGGCTCTGAATAAGAATATTTTTGACCAGAAGGAATCCCATTTAAGTTTTCTACAAATGGAACAACAGGGAGCCTTTTAAATAAATTTCTCTATAGGTCTACATATAAACTTAAACAGAAATCTTCTCCTGCACCATCTCCTTCTCTTTTATGGCTGTAGCACTGTTGCTTTCCTTTTTCTTTTAAACACATTATCTAATATTTTTTTATTCTGTATTAAAATCTCTAGTTCCAGTGGAGTGAAATAAGCAGACCTCCTCTTATTTGTTGCCATGGTTACTTGTGGACTTGGGGCTCCACTGATAATGGCTTTTAATAGTTTTTATGCACGCACTTGACTCTGAGTGAACCTACTGAGAATTGATTAAACTAAATCACAGCAGCTGTTGTGAAACTGAAAACTCTGAGTTTCCTACTTCAGACTAGATCAGTTCAGAGTTGAGGATTTGAGTCTGAGGTTGTTAAACCTGCTTTGTGAAACTGGCCTCTGCTGCACTGCTTATGCACAATCTCGCATTGCCACACAGTCAAAATCCGGTAAATAAAGTATCAAAATAGTCTCATACGGCATAGCATCAGACACTGCATGTGTGTAAATGAATTTTACACAGTAAAGCTGAAAGTGTACCTGTGAAAAAAATATCTATTAGATTATATTAGATTTATAGTAACACTCACACAAAGTTGGGTGCTCAAGGAACTAAATTTTATTGAGAAATTAAGACTATTTATTCCAGACAGAGCTTCGTTAGGACTGTCTTACACACCTGTATGGTGATAGTGGTAAAAAAGGAGTCCTAATTGCTATCAGAGTCTGACATGGCTCCAGTATTTTTTTTTAATTGTTGAAGTAGTGTAACAAAACACATATATCATGTTATTTCTTAAAAAGCTTTGATTATTTGTGCCCCCCCTGTACCGTACAGGAACTATGTTTTCTCCGGTATGCTGCCGGCCTAATAGCAAGAGGCTCTGTGATGGTATGGACGCTGTTACATCTTAAACCCCTGTCACACCTTCCTGATTTAGCCAGTGTATGCCTGATGTCCCGGAATCTTCTATAACGCTGGCATATGCTGAACTTTCTATGTGTTTTTTCCGTTTTGTCCGTATACATAGAGTTTTTATAACAAGTCCAGAGCATATGTCCAACAACAGCCTAACTTATGCATAATGCCCAGCAGCGTAATGCCTATGAAATGTCACAAGCCAGTATCCTGAGGAGGCAGTGATATGTCCAGAGGCAGCCGGCCTGCATAAAAAGATTTCTTTGATCATGGCATTAAAACTAGCTGCTGTTTACCGCCTGCCAAAAAAAGAAAAAAAAAAGAAATAAATAAAGAGAAAAGAAAAAGAAAGAAAAAAGGTTTGCAGTCGTAGCAAATTCTGCTTCATGTCTGCTAGGAAGTGTGTTGGTGGTGGGCGTGAATGCAGGGAGGATCCATCACCCTCACCTTCTGGCTCACCCTATGATGGGGATGAATTCTGGAGGAGAACTGATAGTTTCCTCCTGTGAACCCCCTTTATACCAAAACGCTGCCAATACGCCATTATACAGTAGCTGGAAGTTAGAAACATGTTCA